GAGAGTCCACTCTGGGCTGGGTGTTGGTTGGGTGGGTTTGTTTTGTGTGTGTGTGGGGGGGTGTCCGAGTGCGTTCAGGTTGCCTGTGGCCTCCCCAAGCCGGCTGCTCGGCTTGGAGAGGCTGTGGGTGACTGAGCCACTCCAGGGAGGGTGGCAGGGGGTTGTTTTGTGCGGGGTGTGTGTGTCCAAGCGTTTTGGGGGAAGCAGGAGTGTGTGAGTGCGTGAGTGCGTAAACTGGGGTGGGGTGGGGGGCATGGGCGCCCTCCTTCCCCCTGTGGCAACATGGCCCAGCAGCCCTTATGGGTCTGATGCGGACAGCGCTGTCAGGGGAGGCAGGAGGGTGAGTGTATGTATGTGTGTGTGCAAGCTGGGGTGGGAAGGACATGGGCACCCTCCTTCTCCCTGTATCTCTTTCTCTCTCTCCCCTGCTCTGTCTCTCGGTCACTTTCTCTCTCTTTCCCCCCTGTCTCTCTCACTGTCTTTCTCTCTCTTCCCCCCCTCTGTTTCTCTTTCCCCCTCCCGGTCTGTCTCTGCCCCCATCTCTGTAACTCTCTTCCCCTCTCTGTCCTCCCCTCTCTGTCTCTTTCTCTCTCTCCCCGCCTCTCTCTCTCCCCCCCATCTCTGTCTCTCTCTGTCACTGTTAACTGTTAAAAGGAGATGGGAAAGACCTCTGCCTGAGATCCGCTGCCAGTCTGAATGAAAAATAGTGAGTTTGATGGACCAATCACCTGACTCAGTCGGAGGCAGCTTCATGTATTCAAGGGCAGCTATGCCTGGGAAAGTGCACCTGACGAATGTGTCTGAGCCAAGATTTCATCTTCTCGAGGGGCTCCCCTCCTCTCTGGCAGGCAGCCCATCTGAACTTGGGGAAAGGCAGGAGTTCCCCAGGCGCATGACAGTTATGCCTCTTGCTCTCCCCTCAACCTGGATCAGGAAAGGGACGTGGATAAAGAGGGCACTCTGGTTTCTGCTCTGGGGCTCAGCAGACTCTCCCCCTCTTCCTTAAGTTGAGGGGGTGTCCCTTGTTTCTTTCTCACATCACGTTATCCTCATGACTGAAACGGCAGGTGGGACTCTGACAGGCAACTCTATAGTACTTTGTGATGTCATGTCCTGTGATGGCACTTCCAGGTAAAAGGTCAGGTGATGGCACTTCCTAAGCTCCACTTCTGATGATGATGTCACATCCCGCACCCAAACCCAACCCCTTCTTGTGATGTCACTTTCAGGCCACTCCCCCAAACCCGCCTCTTCCTCCAAAGTCACCTTGTGGCTTTTGAGCATCTATGTGGCTGTTACATGAAGCGAGTTTGGCCACCCCTGGCCTAGGGTTTCAACCCTGCAGGTGGGGCCTGAAGATCAACTGATTTCCAGGTGACAGAGATCAATTCCTCTGGAGAAAATGGCCGCTTTGAGGGAGGTGGACTCTATGGCATTATATCCCACTGAGGTCCCTCCCCTCCCCAAACACCCACCCTTCCCAGGGTCTATTCCCAGATCTCCAGGAATTTCTCAGTGCGGAGTTGGCAACCCTAGTTCTGGCTGGCCTCGGTCTGAACTCCCCGCAATAGGGAGTCATTCTGCGCATTACACTAAATTCCAAGTCTGTACAACTGCATGGGGCGGAGGTTTGGGGGGGGGGAAAGGGAGTTATTATCTGAATACTTTCCCATATGAAAACATCACCCCCCTAGTTGTACTAAACCAGGTACCAGAGATCTGGCTAGACCCAATCTACTGTTTACCATATATGCAGGGAGTTTGTACAAATATGGCCATCCTCAAGTACAGCAAGTTAACATGTCTGAGAGAAAAGCTGAGTTGAGCCCTCTTCTGAATATATTCACATATTACGTGTGGAGTGGTAAGTGCTTCTACATGTAAAAGCTCACCCACACCACCTACAGTCATACAGAATGCCAGCAGCTAATTAAGCACCTCCAGTCAATGCAAATAGAAGAGTTGGTTTTTATATCCCATTTTTCTCTACCCTAAGAAGTCTCAACGTGGCTTACGATCGCCTTCCCTTCCTCACAGCAGGCAACTTGTGAGGAGACCCACTAGGAGAACCAACGGCATAGATTCCATGCCAAGTAGCTTAAAGGCATATGAACTCCCTGGAGTTTAAGAAACTGGAGCACTCGAGAAAAATGCCTGCATGGGTTTCAAAATTATTCTTCACATAGCAGGCAAATTTGGGTTGCAAAATGCGTATATTATGGATCCAGCAAGATCCAAAATGCCTCTTGCCTTTCAGGGTCTAAAGCCCAAGGGCTTCCAGGATCACTAGACACACACATTACCAAGCAGGCCTTGCAAAGGTGTGGCTTTCCTGCCTTGAACCAGAAGTAAAATGTTGGACAGCCTGTTACAAGCTTTCTGTTTGCAAGCCAGTTCCTTGTGCTCAGGTGTGTTCCGTCACGAACACAGCCCTCAGCAAGCTTTCAGACCTCCAGTCATAGCAACCAGAGAAACACGCCTTACACTCAAGCCAGCACATGTACCCAAAAAGGGAATAGGCAAACAAATGTCATACAGTCCTCCCATAAGTTTACTCAGCTAGATCACATTTGTTTCCGACTGACTGGGTCAAGAGGGAAGGGAGAAATTGAAAAACAGAAGCATTTTGACAACTATTTTGCACCGGGGGGGAGGAGAGAAGAAGAAGCTCTTACGATAGGCAGTGGCGGAGTCACGCTCACTTTGCTCGCTGCTAATGAACATGGTGAGGGCTGAGTACGGCACGTGGAAGCACTGGAAAGGAGAGAGGGAAGAATTAAGTCATGCACAAACCATTCAACCTGTCATTAGGGGGCATTACGCACATGACAGGCATGTGCAAGCAGCTGGTATTTTTGGAGAAAGCTGAACAAGGCTGACGGAATGCATGCCAAATTTCTCAAGACTGAGAGATCAACCGGATGGACCAAAAACACTTCAAATCAGGTAACACCCAGCTTGCAGAATCGAGACCAGTGCTCCCTCTAAGCTGAGTCAGAGTGAGCTAGCTCACCGTTTTTTAGCCTCCGGCTCACACATCTTTGTCTCAGCTCCAGAAGGAGGGTTCCAGAGCAAACTAATTTATGCAGTAGCCAAATTGTTTGCTCACAACTTTAATGCCAGTAGCTCACAAAGTAGAATTTTTGCTCACAAGACTTCACAGCTTAGAGGGAACATCGATCGAGACCCAGCGATTGACTAGATCTGCCAGAATCTTTCCCCAAGGCAAGCATGCATGCACACTCCCCCAGCTATGAAATGCCATGGCACATATTTTGCATATATCAGAGTGCCAAATGGCACCACTCCATGTCCGTTCTGCTGCAGACGGGGCTGTTCCCAGAGACTGCAAGTTTCCCGCAACACCATGAGGTCTAGAAGTCTTTGTTGTTGTTTTTTAAGGTACAAGCTAGCCCACTCTCATCAGATCATGGAAGCGCTAAAAACCTGAGAGCTAGCTCACACTAACTCAACTTAGAGGGAACACTGCTTTCAACCACGGAAGCAAAAGGTAGAAGCCAGCAGCCTTCCACCCTCTCGAAGCTTCTCATTTAAGGGAATCCGAACACAGAGTAAAGAAGTTAGCGGGCATACTCCAAAAACTGTATTAGGCCTCACGGTGAGCTCAGGGCTGGCTCACTCACTAGGCGAACTAGGCACTCGCCTAGAGAGCGCCGGCCCTTAGGGGCACCAAACTGACGCACCCCCCTCCTCCCGCTGTCCTGGTTCAGCTGCAAACACTACTGAGTTTTAAACATGTTATGATCTTTCTGATGATACAAACACCAATTCCACCAAAGAACTTAGCCCTCTGGGCATAGAAGGGACACTCAGCTGAGTCAAAGAAGAATCTAAGTAGGGGGACTATTACACAAGGACACTCAAGTTGCAACTGACTTATGGCAACCCCAGCAAGGAACTGTCAAGGCAAGTGAGAAGCAGAGATTGTTTGCGACGAGTGCCTTTCTTTGCAGTCTTCCTTGGTGGAAGCCAGATGTGCAAAGCAGGCAAAGTTACAAAAGCAAAAGTGAGTGTTAAGAGCATGGGTGCCAGGGGAACGGGAGGTCCGGGGTACAGATCCAATTAACGGGTCCGAGCCATGGGGGGGCGCCAGAAGGGATCCTCACCTAGGGTGCAAAATAAGCTGGGGCTGGCCCTGTCAGGAACCCAGACTCTATAGATATTAAAAAACCCACATACAAAGTGAGGTGCAGAGCAATACAAGGGAAAGAAGGAGAGAGAAAAGGCTCAGCAATGAAGAGCTGGTTGTGGCACCAAAGGCAGGCAAACTCACCGTTACAAGGGTCTGGAAAATGCAATAGAAGAAAAGGTACCACATCATCTGCCCCCGAGAGATGTCCGGCACAAACCATATTAAGAAGTAGGAGATCACAGCAAAAGGAGTGGAAAACATAATCCTAAATGATATTAAAACAAGATTTAACACACACACCGCTTTCTTCCTCTGGGCATCCAAATAGTGTGTCACACAGTTTGGCCTTTTTAGGACAGTTTAAAATATGCAAGGGAAACTGGCCTTCTCTTCCCATCCATGGGCATTGTGTGCAAACATTTTTATCCTCTTGACTTCATTCTACCATTGATAATCTCTGCTTAGAAGGATATACACACCCAGCTACTGCACTGAAACATTCTGATAATGCTAGGTAAAAAGGTAAAGGTAAAGGTTCCCTTGCTCGAAAGCCAGTCGAATCTGACTCTAGGGTTGCAGTGCTCATCTCCGTTTCCAAGCCGAAGAGTCAGCGCTGTGCGAAGACGTTTCCGTGGTCATGTGTCCGGCATGACTAAACACCAAGGCACACGGAACGCTCCACCGAAGTGGTACCTATTTATCTACTTGCAATTTCTTGCTTTCGAACTGCTAGGTTGGCAGGAGCTGGAACCAGAGACGGGAGCTGACTCCGTCATGCGGCACCCGGGTCTCGAACTGCTGTACTAGCGACCTTCCACAGCCTGCAGTTCAGCGTCTTAACCACTTGAGCCACCGCAGCTAGGTAGGTAGCCTCAGATACCACAGGTTAGAGATTTGGCAACTCTCACAATAAATACACAACCAGTTGCTTCTCGTAACCACTAAATTATGGATCTCTGGTCCCTTTCATTCTGTCTCTTCAGGTAAGATGTATGTCATGTGAAGTCCCTGGACTGAGTCTAACTTCAACCATAAGCTTACTGTGAGACCTAAGGCACACCACTCAATACCCAATCTGAAAACATAAGGGGGATATTGTACTTATTTACATATTTATAACTGCTTTTCTCCCAAATGAGGACACAAAGCTGCTTACACCATTTGCCTCACATTCCATTTAATGTAATTTACATATTTATAACTGCTTTTCTCCTAAATGAGGACACAAAGCCGCTTACACCATTTGCCTCACATTCCATTTTCTCCTCACAACCACCCGGTGAGGCAGGAGAGACTGAAAGTGTGTGACTAGCCCAAGGTCACCCAGCCAGTTTTCATGTCAGAGCGGGGGTTCCATAGGTGGCTTGCCCAGATCCTAGTCCAACACTCCAGCCACTATACTATACTGGCTCTCAAACGACATAACACTGGCCTACATTGCAAGGTTGTGGTAAGAAAAGATTTCCCCACAGACTATTATTGTTTGTATCCTGCACCCTCAGGCAAAGCAGGCTCTTGAGGTGATTTACAATACAAAAGAAATTATGTATAAATGATAAGCACCGAATGTTTTCCAATAACATATTCCAACTCAAAAGCACCTGGGTAAACGTGTACTTGAAATGTGGAGATAACAGCAACAATAATAGATTCAGGTGAATAGCCATGTTGGTCTAAAGCAACAGAACAAAGTTTGAGTCCAGTGGCACCATTAAGACCAACAAAGTTTAATTCTAGGTACAAGTTTTCATGTGCATGCACACATCTGATGAAGTGTGCAGGCACACGAAAGCTTGTACCCAGAATGAACTTTATTGTTCTTAAAGGACTCATAAGAACATAAGAGACGCCAATGTTGGATCAGCTCCATATAAGCTCCATATGCTTATCTAATTCCCTTTTGAAGCTGTCCATGCTTGTCACTTCCACCACTTCCTGTGGCAGTGAATTCCATATGTTAATCACTCTTAGGGTGAAGTACTTCCTTTTATCCATTCTAACCCGACCGCTCAGCAATTTCACTGAGTGCCCACGAGTTCTTGTATCGTGAGAAAGGGAGAAAAGTACCTCTTTCTCTACCTGCTCTATCCCATGTATAATCTTATAAACCTCAATCATGTCACCCCTCAGTCTTCGTTTCTGCAAGCTAAAGAGCCCTAAGCGCTTTAACCTTTCCTCATAGGGAAAGTGTTCCAACCCTTTTATCATTCGAGTTGCCCTTTTCTGTACTTTTTCCAAAGCTATAATATCCTTTTTAAGGTGTGGTGACCAGAACTGCACACAGTATTCCAAATGAGGTCGCACCTTTGATTTATATAGGGGCATTATTGATATTGGCTGGTCTGTTTACAATACCCTTCCTAATAATCCCCAGCATAGCATTGGCCTTTTTTATTGCAGTCACACACTGTCTCGACATTCAGTGAGTTATCTACTGCAAATCCAAGATCTCTCTCTTGTTCAGTCTCTGCCAAAGGGACTCAAACTTTGTTTTAGCAACAACAACAATAGCATTCTTCTTTCTACAACAATAATAGCATTCTTCTTTCTCCTCCCACCTCTGAACAACAGTCAGTCTGCCTTCAAGCCCGACGCTAAGAACACAAAGCAGCTGAAACCAAAAGGATCCAGTGATCTTCAGATTCCATTGCCAGCCCTACAGATTTCTAATCCCATGCCTGTCCAAGATGGGGAACAGGCAGAGGTCCAGAGAGCATTTTTTTTAAGAGTAAGTTTGTTATGGAGTGGGGCTTTGATCCCAAAGACCAAATCCCCTTCAGACGAGGCAGCGGGAAGCAGGCCTTCAAGCTTTAAAACCTGTCTGGAGCAATAAAGGCGGCACTGGCAAACCGCCCTGAGAATAAAGGAGGCAAGGAAAGTTCGCCTGCTGTGGGAGTGAAACAAGAAAAGTGAAATGAGGAACTGAAGCACCATTACAGAACATGGAGGGGGGAGTTTATTTGAACTGGTTCTCTGTGGGTCTGGAATAGTCATTTATGTGGTCACTTCTGGAGAAGAAGAGTTACCGCCCACAACCATGATCAGCAGAGGTTCATTCCTGCATGCCAGTTGCCAAGGGGGAGGGGGGGAAAGAGGCATTACTCTATTTCTGTGTATTTGAGTTCTTCTGGCCGGCCTCTAGAAGAAACAGACATGCTCCTGGTCCGCTCTTTCGCTGGCACAGACTTTGGCAAACACTGCATTCATTCCACCTCTGTTAGACCAAAGGCAGCTAAGTTGGTCTATTGCAGTGCATTCTTGTGAATCAGTGTCTGTAGACCAGTCCCCCAGATGTCCTGTATGTTATGCAGATGGTGGACGTACAAAGTCACAGGAAGCACCTGGCACAGGAAGCTCAGGGTGATCTGTATCCAGGACTTTCAAGCAGGGCATCCTCGCCTGGCTTGAACAGAAGGGCTGCAGCAACAATTACGTAGGCCCCACAATCGCACAGAGGACCTGAAGCAAGCTTATTTTGGTCTCATAGCTCCCCTGATCTCAACGTTCTCCCCAGCCACTGCAAGTGAAATGAGCTCGTTCCCTCTACACCATTTCAGTCCTAGAAGCCATCATACATGCATTTGCACTCAGGGGAAGAGGGAATTTGCCTCAAAGCTAGCCCCTCATTGCTAACTCCAGACTGGGAAATTCCTGGGACCAGCTAGCCCCCCATTGCTAACTCCAGACTGGGAAATTCCTGGAGATTTAGGGGTGGAGCCTGAGGAGGGGAGGGGCCATTCTGATTTGGGGCCCTTTGTACAATGAAGTAAGCGCCCCTTATGTATGTTGGCACACACCAACACTTCACTCATTTACATTTTAATGGAAGAATTGTGATGGTGTATACTTCCACTGAGCAAAGTGAACAATCCACATCATGCCACTCTTCTTTAAAAGCAAGACCTAATACAAGAAGCAAGTGATGTTGGGTGCCTTGACTGAGTTGAGTTAGTACTAACAGTCTGATTTCAGCCTTAGCTGAGAGCTGTTGAACACAGAGGGAGAACTAGGGGAAAGTTGGCAAGGAAGTTTGGGAAGTAGGCAAAGACTCCCATTTGGGCCAAAGAAAGGGGACAGATCTAGTGAGAGGAGAATTTCCTTATCCAGTCAAAAAGAGAGTTAGCTCTGAAGAGTAAAGAGATCCCTGCTCTGGTATGGTTAGAAACTGCCTTTAGAGACTTTAAAAGTCAATTAAAAACTCAAGATGAGTCCTGGTGTTTGGGTACTGGAAAGAGTACACCAGCCTTCTAGAAACTAAACAAGAATACTTAAAGAGAGTATACTAGAGTGTTTGGGGAAACAGTGGAACAAAAGACTCTCTCAACAAAGGTTTAAGTCACTGTGAATAGCTTCAGACACTCAGTAGGTTGAAACATAAGAACTAAAGTCTGTGCGTGTATTGGTTTTACCTCAGAGTTATCTATATTGAGTTACATCAGTCACCCCCTGATTTCACCTGACCTTTCCAATCTATGTTGAAGAAAATATTTAGTTAATTTTGAATTTCGAAATGTCTCAAGTGCCATTTTCAGTGGTTGAAGTTAAAGGGCAACCTTGACTCTTCCCTCAGGTTTCTGGGCTAAGCTAGCAGTAAGCTGCCTTTCCCCATATATACCCCAGAGAGCACTACAGTTGGGGTCACTCACAACATCGGTTAATTATCCCAGGCCACAAAGATGCCAGGCTTGCTGCCACCAGGGCCAGGGCCTTTTCGGTGGTGGCTCCTTACTGGTGGAATGAGCTCCCGGAAGAGATCAGGGCCCTGCAGGACCTTTTGCAGTTCTGCAGGGCCTGCAAGATGGAGCTCTTCCACCAGGCTTTCAATCAGGAGCCGCCACCATGTCCACCAACTATACTGCTAGAACATCTGTAGTACAGGACTGGCCCTAATGCGGAGTTAGGTCTATATCTACTTGTAAGACCGGAAGACCGCTGGATTGAGAACTCGAATGATATATCTTAGAGCATGCCATCTAATTTAAGGAATTATTAACACTGGGAGCACTTTAAATGTTTAAATGTTATGAATGTTTTAAGCTGTTTTGAAATGTTTTAAACGTTTTATGTTGATTAGGTACATCGTACCAACTTCTGTAAGCCGCCCTGAGAGGAATGACCACAGAAGAAGAAGAATCATCATCATCCCACCCTACCCCACAAGTGGGCTCAGGGCAGCTTACAACAAAAAACCATCTAACAATAAAAAACAAAACAATAAATGGCAGCAACAGATGATAACAAAAACCTGTGCCTCATGTTAGACAAGGAATAGCAGGCACCCCAAAAACTCTCATGTCAGAAATGGCACCACCACATAGACCTAGAGAGGCACATGGAGGTGAGGGAGAGGAAACATCCGCTGAAGAGAATCCTAGTCAGGAGGTAGAAATTAAGAGGATGAAAACTGAACTTGCAAAAATCGAAGAAAAAGCCAGACTTCAGGCCTAAAAGAGAAAGCCAATATTGAAGCAGAACAACAAATACACTTAGCCAAAATTCAGGCAGATCAAGAAAAAGCCAGTGTAGAAGCTGAAAGAGAAAAAGAATTAGCTAAAATGGCACAGCAGGAGAGGGAAGCTGATAGAAAATGAAGGAAACTCCGTCAAGGCAGAAATCTGACTCTCACATCTTTCTCTGCTTAGCTGATGCCAACCAATCAGATTGGTTGGAGCAGCCTATCACTCACGGCTCTCTGTGTCTGTGAAGCATTAACCCTTCACAGCACTTCTAAGCTTTTTAAAAAGTGCAGTCCATCATAGCTCCATCCAGAAAAACTGGTTGGGTCCCTCCGTTTCAGTTTAGAGCAGCAAAAAAGTCACAAGAGTGCCGGGTTATGTGTGCATCACACCCATCCATTAAATAATTCTCTAGGCAGCAAGGAGGCAAGGCCATTTGTTTCTGCTTCCTTTTTAGGCCACCCTTTCCTTCAAGGAGCTGAAGATGGTCTATATGGCTATATTTTACTCATAACCAACCCTGCAAGTAGGCTAGGTTGAGAATGTGATAAACCCAAGGTCACTCAGAAGTGCCCCCCCTTCAGGCCTAGTCTAGCCACTCCACTACACACACACTGCTTGCTGCGCAGCTCCTGCCCATTTCAGTAAGGCTTGAACAGGAGAATTATAGTTTCTCTTCCTGCATGCAGCTGGGTGGCCGACTTTAACTTTTGGCACCTTGCACAGAGGTCAGAAGGAAAAGGTGGTGGAGAGAGGCAGAAAGGTTATTAATTAGCCATCTGGACATTTTTTCGACAATTTGTCATTTCCTGTGATGGGGGAAGTCCCTGGTGACGTGTGGAGGAAACAGAGGAAATATCAGACGCCCTGAAGTTCCTAATAATGTTCCTCTGATGTTTGGGCAATCTGGGCTTTCATCAAGCCCTTACACATACAAACACTACAGTCTGCTGATCAGGCCCACTGAGGTAAATGGAGATGGTGTGTGTGGACATGGGGGTGGGGTATTCCAGACTTTGACAACAAAAAAAAAAAGCCTTTTGGGGCTGCCTATAAGATGACCCTTTGGGGATCTGAAAGCCTGGCAGGGCAACTGCACATTTAAAGGCCAGAATGCTAACTTAGCTTTTCCCCCTTCCCCAGGATCCATCCACCCCACCCTGGGAGCAACTGGATTGCCAGTCCTGTTTGACTCTTAGCAACCTCCTCCCTGAGGCGGCTCTGGCGATTAGCAAAGATATATGAAACAGGCTAGACTGCAGGCACAGGCACACTGCGCTGCCATTGGCTGATCCAGGATGGTGTGTTCAGCTGTGAGTCACACACACCCCCTTCCCACCTCACTAAGCTTTAACCATTTCCTCAACATGTTTGGCGTGGCTTCCTTTCCCAACACATGCTCT